AGGGGCCAAAGAGCCACATGTGGCTCTTGAGCCGTAGTTTGCCGACCATAGTCTTGGGCGAGTACTTAAACTCACCAACGCTGGCTCCTTGATTGGTATCTAACACACCGGGTTGCTGCTATGAGGTTTAAATGAGGTAGTCGTATGCCAATTTTAGCCTCGTGCCCACGCACAGAAAGCTCATTAGGCACTTAATAAAAATGCTAGGTATTATTATGATTGAGTGGTAAGCACTGCAGGGTCTGCACTTACTAAACCCTTTCAAGGGTGAGTTTCTACCTGTATCGAAAGGTGAAACCGGATACCCTCCTGGGGCTGTGTTGACAATGAGACGGGACGTGAGGGATCAGCACAATTCCTGGCCACAGTTATCCAGGAGCATTCCAAGTGAGAATTATCTGCAGCTGTGTTTGCTAATAGAGCCTGCGTTTTTGCTAATAAACAATTTCCTTATTCCAACCATCATTTTCTTGTTGAGCTCATGCATTTAGAACCCCCGAGGGCCATCTTCTCCTCCCCTGTTGTCATGACGATCTAGTCCCACAGACGATGGCCTACTGGTGACTGCCACGCACAGCCTCGCACAGGACTGCGCTGTCGTGGCTTCCGGTTGAGGAGGGAGCCTTTGACATTCACAGCTCCGTGCTTCCCACACGCGAAGCCATCTGACCTTTCGCCAAGACCGCGCTGTTCGTCACCGTTCACGTCCCCACTTTCTGACCTTTCAGACCTGCTTTCAAGCATTGACAAGAAGACTGAGACATCGGACAGATCTTTTTTTAAAGCCCGGCTTCTAATCCTTAAAAGAGAATCAGAGAGGTGGGGCTGTCACTAGCTCGAACGCTAAGCTTGCAGAGAGCTCTCTGGAAGTCACAGTGGCCTCCTGCCAGCATGGCCATCTTGATAAGAATAGAGCCAGGTGATGCAACCCCACTTTAAATTTAGAAGTTCTCAAGTTCACGCTATTCTGAAAAGGCAGCAGTGAGTGGCGTAGCCACACTTAGGTTCGAGACAAAAGTCAGGTGGCCATGTCTGAAATAAGCCAATTGTTTGACTTTGCACAGGAACACGTCCTCCTCCACCAGCCGCGGAGCCCCGCAGCCAGCGTCCCTCTGGGCCCCTGGCTGCGTCCACTCACTGCGGCTCAGTGACCTTTACAGAAAGGCCCAAGAGAAGCGCTCCTTTCCCACAGATCCCAGCTGCCCACTGCACAACGAAACAGTGCGCAGACGTGATGCTGAAGGTTTTCACGCTCAGTTGGCCTAGCCCTGTGGTCGGCAAACTGCGGCTCTCGAGCCACATGCGGCTCTTTGGCCCCTTGAGTGTGGCTCTTCCACAGAATACCACGGCCTGGGCGGGTCTATTTTAAAGAAGTGGCGTTAGAAGAAGTTTAAGTTTGAAAAATGTGGCTCTCCAAAGAAATTTCAGTAACTGTACTGTTGGCATTTGGTTCTGTTGACTAATGAGTTTGTCGACCACGGGGCTAGAGGTATCTGGGGTGGTATTTTACGCGAGTGTCTTTAACCCACCAGAGGGCGATCACTCAGAAACCGGACAGGAGACCCCCTCCACCGGGGACACTTCCAGGCGGCCGTGGCTGCAGGGCGGCACTGCCAGCGGGACAGCTGGGAGAAATGGGTCACACATTCCTTCTGTGCGGACGTGCGCTGCCCAGAGTGCTCGCTGCTCGTTCTCGTCCTCTTCTCATAAACAAGCTGCCGTAACAAGTTACTTTAAAAAGCACCTGATTTCCCCAGCGGCGGCCACGGGAGGTCCAGGGCTCCCTCCGGAGACTCACAACAGTTGTTTGTTCTCAGAGCTCAGGCGCTGGTAGTAGCTGGGGGCTGAGCATCCGCTGATCGGTCGGGGGCGGAGGGCTCTCTCCCTCCAGCCCTGTTTCTCCCACGGGTGTGCACCTCCTCGCTTGGCTGATGCAGATGGGGAGGGAGGACTCAATGTTCAATTTCAATTTAATTACACAGTCCGCAGTGCCCAGTGGGGAGGATTTAGGGACAAGATTAGCGCTCAACAGCGCTCTATTTTACATTTCGTTTGATAAAGAGCGCTGTATTGATTATCCAAAGTGAGTTTTCAAAAATGTTTTTCAGGAGCCAAATTCTTTTGGTGGCAGATGATTTAAAAGGGGGAGGGGGTGACTTCACTTCTTGGCTCTTTGCCAAAATGCAGGTAAGTCGAAGGTATAAGATGGCTCTTGGAGTTGTGTTGCCAGAGCACCCTTGAGAGGGAGCAGGGCCCCTCCCTGAAAGAACAAAGACTAGAAATTCCTCTGCAGAATCAGAAACGCCAGTGGGTAGGCACTGATTGACTACCACGGCTATTGCTTCTGAAAATGATTGTGTAACTAACGCACTTAAAACCTTTCCCTCTTAGGTTAAAATCTAAAGAGTTTCACTCTCCATCAGGACTGGAAGCCATTCTGATTTTATCAGGCATCAAATCAAAATGTTTAAGATTATGAGTAAATATTTGGTGTTCTACTTTGGTGTCGGCACAGTCTACTGGTTCAGCCAAATGTAAAAAGAAGGCAAATACAGGAAGCGAAAGTAAGTCCCTAAGAAGTGGCCTCAATGTATTTCTTGACCAACGGCTTTGACTTGTTAAGAAAACAGGTCCATGGAAAATATTGTGCTCAGTGAAATAAGCCCAACTGAGAAAGACAAATAAAACCAAATAATCTAACTAATAACTGGGCAAAGGACTTGAATAGACACTTTCTTCATGGAGGACATAGCCCAAACGACTAGTATGCATGCATATGAACCTAACCAGTGGTCACGGACAACAGGGAGGTGGGGGCATGCGTGGAATAGGGGTTTGGGATGGGAATGGGGGGATGAGGACAAATATGTGATACCTTAATCAATAAAGAAATTGAAAAAAATTTTTTAAAAAGATGGCCAATCATCAGAGAAATGCAAACTAAAATCACCTCACACCTGTCAAGATGGCTATCATCAACAAATCAACAAACAGCAAATATTGGGGAGGTTGTGGAGAAAAGGGAACCCTCGTGCACTGCTGGTGGGAATGCAGATTGGTGCAGCCACTGTGGAGAACAGTATGGCATTTCCTTAAAAAGTTAAAAATGGAACTTCCATTTGACCCAGTGATCCCTCTCCTGGGAATACATCTGAAGAAACCCAAGACTCTAATTTCAAAGACTATCTCCACCCCTACGTTCACTGCACCATCATTTACAATCGCCAAGATTGGGAAGCAGCCCAAGTGTCCATCTGATGAGCAGATTAAAGAGCTGTGGTCCATTTACACAGTGGAATACTACGCAGCTGTAAAAGAGAAGGAAATATGACCCTTCATGTCAGCGTGGATGGGCCTGGAGAGCATTATGCTAAGTGACATAAGGCAGTTGGAGAAAGACAAAGACCCTATGATTTCACTTGTATGTGGAATCTAACGAATAAAAAACTGAAAACACAATGGAAACAGAGTCTTAGATATGGAGAACCAACTGACAGCTATCCCAGGGGAGGGGGCTTGGGGACCGGTGGAAAAGGTGAAGGGTTTAAGTAAACAAAAGAGAACTCCTAGGCACAGACAACAGTATGGTGATTACCAGCGAGATTACCATGGAGGGAGGTAGAAGAGGGTGAAAGGGGGTTACATGGTGCTGGGCAGAGAGGTAACTCAGGGTGCTGAACACACAGCACCGTACACAGATGATGCATTATAGAATCTTACACCCGAAACCTGTATCATGCTCTTGACCAATGCCACCCCAAAAATTTCAGTTAATAAAAGAAGAAAAGAAGTCTCTTTATAAGGACTTAAACAAACAAAAATGGTAGCAATTAACTTCACTGCTGTTCAGCCTTACCACCCCTTGAGTACATACAAATATTTGAAAACACAATGATAAAGAGACTAAGCTCAAAGGCAAGCAAGCTTTCTGAAACAGCTAACTGACTTTGTCATTGTGCAACCATGGCATTGCCAGGTGTTAAGTTGGCTGCTGCTTCCAGTCAACATCTCTGCTTATATTCAAAGGCAACGTGATACCCTCAGCGCTCGGTGGCGCCTCCTGAGGCTGCAGTGCCTTAGTCGAGCGAGCTTCCCCAGAGCTCCGCGCGTTTCAGGGCCCCCGGCACGGCTCAGGGAACGCTGGAACTAACCGGTGCGGTGCCAGGGGGGACACGGTGGGACTCATTGTGAAGAGGAGAAGAATGTGCGAAACGTACCTTGCCTGAGTGGGTGATACGTCAGGCCAGAGGCGAACAGCACCCACAGGCCCAGGGATCCGAGGCTGAGAGTGACGCCCGGGCGTGTCTGCCACAGGCCCAGGCCTGCCCCCAAGGCTAGGGCCCAGCAGCATTGGGAGGGACTGCGCTGGGCTGGCGGGGAGGAGGCAGGGGTGGGCAGGGCAGCGTCTGGCTTACATGTGTGTCTGCGTGTCTCAAGCCCCTTACATGGTCAGTCAGATACCGTGATTCCTTCTTCCAGTAGATGAACAAATAAATCAGTAAGGAGCCTGGCTGGGCAAACAGTGGCACGGCCAGGAGGACCAGGCCACCTGAGGCAGCGATCTGCCCTGCGCGGAGCTATCTGGTATATTTCCACCCGGGCTCAGCGCTCAGCGGGCTGGGCATCGAAACGTGGGAAAACCACCGAGTGCCACCGCAGTGAGGAGAGAAGCAGATAACAGGATCTGTTTGCAGGCGGATGCTATCCATGCCCTGTCAGGACGTGCCTGGGTGGCTCACATCAGCAAGCCGCATGCCCTGTCCACCGGGTGCCTCCTGGGGAGATGGAGGGGAGGGGAGTGAGGCTGTGCGGGGAGGGGGTGAGGAAAATACATGTCAGCCCAGAGGACTGACTACATTCAATGACATGTTCTCAGGGCCAGGGACACACACGGCTCACTCCCAGCACAGCAAGGCCTTTGTGTTCTAAAAAGCACTCACAGTGCCTCTCACTGACTTAAAGCAGGACTGCGCGTCCCCGTGCGGGAGGCTAGGAAGTACCTGGTCGGTGGTATGCACCCGGGCGTCCCCTCCAGTCCCTGGAAGAGAGAGAAACAGAAGGTCACCATCGAGCGGACACGCACCTGAAGGCCGTCCCGGGCTCTGAGCAAGGCCTGTCCCCACTGTGAGCGTGGCCATCGCGCCAGAGTTGGGATGGGGAGGGGGGAAGCGAAACGTGAATCCACCTTGCTAGGCTAAAACAGAGGTCAGCAAACTCATTAGTCAGCAGAGCCAAACATCAACAGGACAACAGTTGAAATGTCTTTGGAGAGCCACATTTTTTAAACTTAAACTTCTTCTAACGCCACTTCTTCAACATGGACTCTCCCAGGCTGTGGTATTCTGTGGAAGAGCCGCCCTCACAAGCTGCAGTTTGCCGACCACGGGACTAAGAGCAGAGGATGGAATGGAGCGGGAAGGGGCTTGTCACGAGCTGGCAGGGAAATGGCAAGGGGATGAGAAGGACAAGGGAAAATCCGGATGGGACCCGGTCCCAGGTCCCCAAACAGTGACAGCCCAGTCAGGTATGACACGGGCTCAGCGCCTGCAACTGAGGGCCAGCGAGGAGACGGCGGGGCAGGCGGCGGGCGCGCTGCTCTCCGAAGCTGCTCTCGGGCCTGTGGGATGGCACAGGTGCTGTGACCCGCTGTGGCTGCGGGGTCGCTGGCCACCCACTCAGCATAAGCCAGCAGCTCTGCCACGGCGGCCTGGCCAGGACAGAGGCACCTAACAACACAGCCTCTCGGAGAACAGGCCTGTCCGTCCCCGTGGGGATGGCCTGCAGGCCAGCGATGCCACGTCTGTCTAAAACGAGCGGAAGCAAACCCGTGGAAAAGCCGGGGACTGCAGGAGAGGGAGGCGCATTGGGGGCATGGCAGCTAGTTCTTGCTTGTGGACATCTTGGTGCGAGATACACTTAAAAAAACCTTTTTATTGCTTTTTAGAGAGAGAGAAGAAGAGAGAGGAAGAGAAAGGGAGAGAGAGAGAAACATGAATAATGAGAGAGGAACCTGTATCGGCTGCCTCTTGCATGGCCCTACTGGGGGCCGATCCCACAAACCCGGCATGTGCCAGGCCCAGGAATCGAACCAGTGACCTCTTGGCTCATAGGTTGACGCTCTACCACTGAGCCACACCGGCCAGGCTGAGATACACTTTTTATTCTTGTGGGCTTTTTAAAACTTTAGCGAAGACGACGGTGCATCACATGCAGTTGTAAGAAATCATACAGACAGATCACATGAAGAAGAGGCAGTGGCTGCTGGGGATGGAGGGACGGGACTATACCTGCATGTTGGAGGGACTTAGGTACCAGGGCGTATGCCACTCCGGGGCAGGGTAGGAGTGGGTTGGGGGACTGAGGGCGGGCAGGCTGATGGCGGAGAGACAGGGCTGTTCTCCCGGTACCGAGGCCAGGATGCTGGTTGATTTAAACATGAGAAACATGATCTCCTCCCTCGAGCTCCGAACATTCATAGCTCAGAGCACATCACCATGGCCCTGTCGGGCGGCTGCTGCTAATGACCTTCTCCCGTGTGCTCAGGGAGGTCCCGCCGGTGCCCATGTACCATTCCCTGGCCGCTGCGGGGAGAAAGGAGGAATCTCACTTACAACGAAGCCATCCCCCCACTTATCCAAATCGCCTGCGAAAGGAGGAACGGCAGCTGGGGGATAGAGCGGAGCGGCAGGAGCCGCAGCTAATAAAAGATTAAGGAGCACGCGGCTTAGCGCCTCCTAATTATTTTCTCCAGCATCTCGCCTCGACCGGCTTTGAAATCTCGGGTTGGATCGGCGCTGTTTTGCTCAGAGGTTTGTGGACTTTGCATACTGATTCTTTCCTGTTTCCAAGTGCATTTGCTGTGAGGCTATTTTTATTTCACTTTAAAGGAATTTTAATAGCTTTCTGTTGACAGCGCGGACAGCTGGTCTTGAGAATTAAAGAAGACTCACTTGCTGATGGAGGAAGGAAGTGACATCAATGAGCTGCTCAAGCCCGCCCGAGGGGACCTGCTGGGGAGGGAGCAGCCCCTCGCTGCGCTGCGCTAGGGAGAGATGCCCGGAGATGCGATCGCCGCCACTGGATCCATCAGACCCGCGATGCCTCCCTCCACCTACTTAGTGCCACGGAAGGAACATGCCCTTCACACTGAGGAGGAGGAGGAGGAGAGCGCAGGGGCTCAGGAACCACAGGATCACAGGGTCCCTCTCTGGGCCAGTTCCATCCTCTGTCAGGCCTTTGTCCAGAAAATGACTTTGATGTAAACTGTTTGGTTGGAGTCAGTCTCTTTCTGGGACAGGTGGCGAATAAGAACATGTAATAGTATGGATAGTGTAGACATGCTACCTGCCAATTTAACCCAGAGAGTGCTACCAACTGCTTTTTTAACCTCATGGAGAGCTATCCGGAATAGAGGTCTCTAGGTGTCATATATAAGCTTCTCCTATGATATCGTAATATTTTAAAAATTGGCAGTCATAGTACACAGCCAGTGTGACTCAACGGTTGGGCATCAACCTGTGAACTAGGAGGTCACGGTTCAGTTCCAGGTCAGGGCACAGGCCGGGTTGCAGGGTTGCTCCCAGGGTGGGGCAGCCAATCAATGCTTCTCTTTCATCATTGATGTTTCTACCTCTCTCTTCCTCTCTGAAATCAATGAAAATATATAAAAATTGGTAGTCATTGTTTATAACTCCACTGCAGAGAAAGATCAGGTGTCAAATATGCACTTTAAATAATGACAATAGTATAAGAGCAGTGATCATTGCCGTCACAATGAATGAGTTCATGCTTCACCATTTTCCTCTGGAGCTAGTTACACATTCTTCAAAGACAACTGTAGCTCAAGTGCATTGAGGGTGTATGTGTTTGTGGGTTGTGGGTTGATATAGGATTTGCAAATCATATATCTGTTATATTGGAAATTAGCGAGCTAAACACAGGACCAGAGGACGCCTTAGTCAGTCAGCCACATGTGGAGGCCTTATTACCCGGTGGCCTCAGAGGAGTGGCCTCCAGAGTCTGAGCAAAGCAACATGGAGGGAGCTTTCCCTTTATGCCCTCCCGGTCTCTCTGTCTCCCAAACACGGGCCTCCGGGCCTCTCGCAGGCTTTCCAAAGAGCCCTGTGTGCTGGGAGGTATTTTGCAGGCAGCTTGTAGCCTTGAGCACAGCACTAAGATAACTAAGAGACCTGGCATGGGAGGAACAAGGAGCGGACCAGACCCTCACGTCAGCACAGCAGCTTGCAAGGCCAGATAATTGAGCTTATTTTCCCTATTATTCCAGCAAGCGTGCTTACAGAAGCCAAGAATAGCAAAGTTAATTCACAGAACAAAGGACCCTCTATGTTTAGTGGAAAATTTCAGGGAGCAGAGTTTACACCATACAGGTGACGGAGAACAAGATGGAGTGCCGATGCTTCAATCTGATAAGGGGTTAATATCCAGAATAAATGAAGAACTCACACAACCCCAGAGCCAAACCCCAAACACTGATTTAAGAAGTGCCAGCTGCTTTCTCCTGGGGAGCAGGACTTGCCAGGAGCACCGAGGGTCAGTCTCTCTCTGGCGAACCCCTTCTGGTCCTCATGCAAAACACACTTTGGGAAGAGAGGGGTGTTAACGAAAAAAAACCCCATTGAAACCTGTAAAGAATTTTTGTGAGTTTATTTGAGCCAAACTGTCGGCATATGCAGGGAAGCAGAACCTCAGTGAAATGAGATAATGCTCCGGAGAATGGCGGGTTACGTTTCTATATTTATACATTGCCATCAAAGGAAAGGGACGTAGGTGGTTACATGAAATTCATTGGCGATAGATTAGGGAGGTGGGACAGAGCGAAGCGGGGGGGGGAAAACCTCTGGGATAGGGTGAAAGGTGAAATGATGGACCTGAGCTTCTTTTACAGAGGTGGATACAGGATACTCTAACGCAATTAACAGTTGACAACTTGATAACAATAACAATGAGGGAATGTCTCGAGGCCATTTGTTGTGCCCTGAGGGGTCCGGGATAAAAAGGAAGTTACAAGTTACCCAGACATCTCACAGATAAGTTATCTCAGAAGCTGGAAGGCAACTGGGTTCAGTAAAAGTAGATCAAAGTTGATCTTCGTCAGGTGAAATACCTGGGACATGACTACCTACTGTAACCTGTTAGATATTTAATTTTCAAACCATCTCTTGTGGTTATCTTGGGTCTCTGGGTTTGTAAGACCGCCACGCAGGCCTTCCCTGAGCTTGTCAGGTCAGCATGTGGCTCTTTTCTTTCACAGGGGGCACATGGCCCGCTTACTCTGTGGGGGACACTTCTTAGGGTGAATTATGACTGGGGCCCTGAGGAAGGCTCTAGTCAGACTCCGCCACCTTCTCCACCGGGCCATGATGTGGACCCGCCCTGCCTTCCACCTTCCTGCCCCTGCTTAGCAAGAACCCTGCTGAGTACCTTAACCAGAGTCTCCCCACCCTGGGTAGGTGATCACCCTGACCTCCGACCGGGTTTCTCACCCCCACCTTTGATGTCTACGTTCTTGGCCGGCCTTTAGCCAGGATCCCGTTGGATCAGTTCAGGAAGAACGCCCCTGCCTTGGATGTCCCCCGCAGTTACTAACCCTTCCACGGACCCCCCACGTTGCTCCTGGGCTGTGAGTCCCATTGCCCTGCTATAGGCAGAGGTGAGCAGCTCGCTCCTCTGCCCGCACCCTCATGCTTACCGTCCTCAGTAAAGCCTTCCTGGCAATGCCAGGGTCAGAACAATTACTTTTCTTATCAGACCTAACATTTTAGCATTTCACCTATTTCCTTTGTTTTATACCCAGGATCCATCCCCAAACGACCGATTTAATTCCTCCTTAAATTTGCAGATCCCCAAGCACTGTAGCTTCTAGTTATCCTTAGTGATGGCTCAACACCTGCGTACATCGTCAGGGAAACTGGAGATAGTCGGGGACACCATCCACCAAAAGCAGACCCTGAACCTCCCCAAGTGGCCTTGAGTGGGAGCCTCATTGTTGTTAAAAGTAAGCTTCCCCTCCTCCCATTA